GAATTGTCCGAATGAATTTGGTATGTAGGACCGCGTGCCGAGCGGCGGGCGATAATTCTCGCCGCTCGGCGCGACGGAGATTATTACGTTTATACGACAATCGCGGGAAATGTACCATTTGGACGAGCGTGAAAAATATTGTTGTTTGCCGGACGAGTCGCCGAGTTCACGTTCAATTAAGCGTTCGCGAAATCACGCGGCGACTTCGCCGCGGTGTGTTCGCGACAAACTTTGCGTTGCGAGGCGAACTTCCGCGCGGCGGCCGCGAGCGAATCGCGCGGCATGGGCGGTTTTTCCGCACCGCGTTACATAAATACGTCTAATTGGTTGAGGGAACACGCAAACACACGCCGCGAGATAACAACGGCGAGAGCGGGGAAGCTGGCCGCTGCTTGAAATTCAAGCGGGCCGCTACGCGGGAATTTTCGAGCTCCGAAGTTGAAACGAGCCGAACAATGGCTTTCATTAAACCACGTAAGTCGCGCTTCGGTCGGAACTATCCGCGCGTTGCGTTAGGCCGCCGATAGAACCGGCTGGATCATTACTCATTCTCCGCGAGAGACGAGGCGAAAAAATTAACGTTCGAGCTGAATTCGTTCCAGCGCTCGCTCGCTCGCACGCGCGCGCGAATGAAGTTCGGAAAGTTCGCGCCGCGAGAACCGGTCGAGTCGACCGCAACTTTCGCGCACCTATACAAACTTTATTAGCTCGAAAATCGATACAGGCGGAAAGGCAAGTTCGTGGCCGCCGCCGCCAGCCCCGTGGCGCGATCCCAGGACGGCGATCCGTCTCGAGCGGGAAGTACGTCGTCGCTGGAGCGACCGTCGTCTCCTCTCTCTTCCGTAGGTAGATCCGCCTCAGCCCGGAACTCGAAATAAATATCGCGCTATCGGTCTCAATTTCAGGAAAGTTTCGGCGATCCCCGCCCGGCGACGGACGCCGATCGGTGCGTTTGGGGTCAGCCGGCAGGGCGACTGCGCGCGTCTTCTCCGAGGAAACGAACGGTCGATCGGCACGCGGCAACGCGGAAAAAAGAAGAAGGGAGAACAAAGCGACTGGAGGTGACCCCGTCGTCGTTTCGTCCCCGAGTGACGGTGAGATACATACACGGGGCGCCTTTGTCGGCGGGTTAGAGGACGGTACTTGGGGGAAATAAATTCGAGATGGACGGGATTTTCCTTCATACGCGGCTGTGCCTCGCCTTGTCGACAGACCGATACACGCTGTCGGTACGCGGAAATATGCCGTTGCATCGGTAGGATTATTGGTCAGCAACGCCGTAACTGGAATAAATCTGTTTGATTTTACAACAATATCATTGAAACTTGAGGTATTGAAAGCATGTATAACGTAATATATCGATTTCATTGATGTTGCTGTTGAAAGATTTATTATTATAATCAATTCCACTGATGCAGCACTTTTCGTGTGTGTATCGGTAATAATGAATGACTCGAGTCGAAATCTTGGTTCTGCATCAATCCTACGGATTTTGTCAAATTTAAAGGATTAATCAAAAATCTCTCCCGAAATATAACAAGTTATTGTACAAACTGGCTAATGCCGTCATCATATTGAAGAATCTCGAAGAAGCACTCGTTCAAAAATTATTTAATTACTCAATTATCTCAATATACTACCAATATTTAATTTTGCTTTTATAATAATAATAATTACTCAATTATCTCAATATACTAAATATAATAAAATAATAATTACTCAATTATCTCAATATACTACCAATATTTAATTTTGCTTTTAAATTTCAGTCAGAAGTATGTTAAATTAATTTAACCAACGGCTAATAGAATATATGAGATAAGGAAATATTAAATAATCGAATAAAGATTTCGATGGAGAAACGAGCAAAGGAAAGAACATATTTTATTCTCATCTCTTCCTCTGATTTCTCTCCTTTTTCTTTTCTTTTGCGTTGGAAGTTTCGATGAGATTTGAAGCTTTGAAAAGAGCTGATAAGAAGCTGTAGAGATAAAAGTTATGCATCCAATAACGCTCTTTACGAATAGAGATTTCAATTTGGATTCCGCGCAATAACAAGGATATAAAAGAGGACTGAAAAAACGTTGGCAGATGTAAACAAGATCGTATTCACGGCCCAAGGAGCATAGACGTAAAAGCCAGTAATTGCAAGAATTAAATTATATCTCTAGACCTAAATAATTCACAATAATGTGAATTATTTAGGATCTCCGATTAAAATATCATTAATTACAAATTCGCACTCGTGGATCGTTATTCGACTAATTGGATCAATATTTCTTGTATGAAATAATAAAAGTGCAAAAAATAAAGATACAAGTTGACGAGGCAAGGTACAAGAGATTTATGAAATTGTAATTATTCGTCAGATGATGACGGATTATGAATGCCGGCCTAAATTTCGACTCGAGTATCCCTTTATTCTCGGTAAGTTCGTCAAACGTCCGTTAAAAACGAAAATATCCTGTACAATAAATAATTGAACACACCTCGGAAATATACGATGTATCGCTGCTTGCGTCCTTCATCCTGGCTTCCCGATTTAGCATCTCGGCTATTCCCTCATGGCACTGACACTGACACTCGCTTAAATAAAATTCGCTCAAAAATACACATGTTAAATAACGCGATGCCGGCAAGAGCTTTGATTAAGTATCTCAAAGGGCGATGAAATATTTAATCACCCGAGAGAGGAATGACAAATAATGCACTGATACATGCAGACGGTGATATGCGTGTCGCGGCTCGAAACGTAATGGACACTCGGAGAAGTACGCGACACACAAAGGTATGTTTGTCCGCTTTGAAGGTCCCACCTGTTTTGATTATGTGAAGGGACGCTATAAGTTGTCCCTTCATGCCGATTGTTTTAATACTCTCACGCGTCGCACACCTTTCCGCGACTGAGCGTTACGTTATCACATTTAATGCAAAATATTTCGTCGACCCTCGAAATATTTAATCGAATTTTCGGCGACACCGCGTTAATTGAAATGTACCTTTTTGAGGGAATTATATCTATAGGGGCGTCTGTGTCATGAGATAATATTCGACGTGCCGTACAGTCGGTTGTTGAGTCGGGAATTCAGAACGAAGAACGCAGAAGGCCGAAACGTGGAGAGCGATATTTCATATTTTTCAAATATATTATTTAGTTGTATTCAATATATATATGTATTTTCCAATACCAGTAAAAACATAAATAATAAAGAGATCCTGAAGAAACAAACATCCTATTGATTTTATTAAATTATTTAACATTTGGTTGTCGTACATATCCGCAGTTCTGAGAAAATTACACAATTAATATATTGCTTACTGGAATTAAGGATGAAGATTAAAATGCAAGGTAGAATATTGAGATAATTGAACGTTAAATAATTCTGACATAAATCATTTTTAAGAACAACTCAGCATGGAGAAGATAATATGAAGTAACCATTTGTAATATATCAGGGTAGTATAATGGTCTATATATACCGTCTTCCAAGTTCAACGGAATTTGTAGGATTAATGTGCAACCAAAATTTCGGCTCAGGGATACGGTAATGTACCCGTGTCTATGTACGTTATGTACCAACATAAACAGGAAGAGAAGTTTCTGAAGTTGAGATCCGTGAAGACAAAACTTAGTCAAGCGCAGGCATATCTGATAAATTTTTTAACAAAATTTGCCAGAAAGTGAAGCCACGAAAAAATTTGCCTCATATAGTTTCGGTTTATTTTCTTGCAAAACATGCCGTGATGTATTTGTGTGCGTGCGTACGTATGCGTTTCCTAATTGTAACGATGGCGCGAATATCGGCTACAATTTAGAGAAGGCAATTTCAAGAATTAAAAATTACTACGTCTGAAGCCTTTTACTCCGTCATTGCAAATAGCATAACTAAGGATGTGACGTAACGGGTGGGAAACAGAGAAACACGGGGAGAACAATGTTGTCCGCGTAACAAACTTGTCGATAGCTTTGAATGTCGCCTTGGAGTTATGTAGTTAAAGTTTGGAGCGGTCTCCGAGCGAAAATTAAAAAAACTTGTTTTCAAATTTAACTTCAGTAAAAAACAAAAATGTGAAAAACAATAAAACTGTGAAAAATGTGTCAATATTAACATAAATAAACTGAAATGGAAAAGATTGCGCGCGCCAACATTCATACAAATTAAAATTCATGCCGAGAGCCCCGGTGGCTTGTGCAAACAGATGACAGTAGTTTTACACTCTGTGAAACGATACACATTAGAAAAAAATAGTTTGTTGAAAACGAGTGTCCGGAAGATATTTATAATCGACAAAGTTCACGCGCGCGCCACAAAGATGACAGTTTCTGTCGACGATCTCAGCGTTTTACGCAAGGAAAGGATACTACTTTTGTGCTTTAACGAATGTCGGAGACTAGAAAGACTAATTTATTTATATTACTTATATTGACACATTTTGCACAATTTTATTGTTTTTGCATTTTTACTGAGGTTAAACTTGAAAGAAATTTTTTTTAATTTCCGCCCGAAAATCACTCGAAACTTCAACTTCATGCCAGCGAACCAGGCGCGAACGTTACGTCGTAGCTTCGCCGAGAGAGCATCTTTCTCGCAGAAAAGATTATGAATATATATAAAATCATCTCGGTTGCCAGAAGCGACCAACGTAGTAGGTAGTCCGCGTAGCGTTCTCGCTCGACGACGTCTCAACAGCCGCGCATCCGCCGTCATTTATTATTCGACATGAAAAGGCGAGCCGTTGAGACGCATTGAAATTTTTCGCGAGTCATTAGGGAGAGAAAAAGGACGGCGATTTCGGCCCCGGGAAACCTCGGCGGAGGATGCGCCGCTGAATACAAGGCCTCAAGGCTTGTCGCTGCCATTAAAAGAGTCATTTTCGTTTTTCTATCGGCTTTCCCGCCGATTCAAAAACGCGGGAAGCCCACTGAAAGCCGAATTGCGTCACGAACGACTGTTCCGGTTTTCCTCTCCCATAAATGAGTGAATTGACAAATAACTTACCGCGTGCCAGAAGTAGCTTCTCCTGCCGATTCAGATCTGCAATAGAATTAATAATACGATGTTGAAACATTCGTGAAATTGTGAAACAACGAACGTCGTTAGAGTCGGTTGGAAGAATGGTAAAACTTAGAAACGGTCGGCATGTTGATTGCCGCGCCGATTTCCATTGATTGCTTCAGCGTCTCAACTCGAGTTTGACTTGCCAAAGATACAAAAGCAAATGAATGTAATTCGCAATGTATACGGAAGGAAAGAACATTCTTATTTTGAGAGGCAATTCGTATTTTCAACTTGCGAGCGTTGAAATGAAATTATATAGTGTTGATAGACAAAACTTGCTTACACGAAGAAATTGCATATAATTCCGCTAAAAATATAATATTCTTATTACGAATGATTTATTATATGAAACAATAATCATATCGATAAAAAAAAAATATATATATATATAAATCTTGAATTGATACCTTTTTTATGTGTAAATATTTGCTAACTTTTTCCGTTGGCTCTTTGTCGACTATATATTTAATTTATTACACGCAATGGGTTACGTTTTACACGTAAATCAGTTAAACAGAGCGATATTACACGGTCGTTGGTGACCACCGTCGCCACAGTCAACGTGTTAATCAAATTTTCATCGCGGCTGCTGCTCCCGCGCAAAAGTGTCCACCTAAAACGCGAAACTTTTCTACACGAAGGCTGTGCCTTCTGATTAATTTCATAAATCGAGGGTGATAAACCGATCGTGCACTCACTCTCATCGAGGGAGATCAATAATAGACGGAGGAGGACGGCATCGAAAGCGAAGCGGGAAGGCAGGAAAGACGATGCACCGGCACCGACGCAACCACCTGCCGGCCTTTCCACCGGTCTTCGGGATTTCAGTCCAGTAATTGCCGCGGCAATTACCACGAATTACGGCGATAATTACCGTCATTATGCGGCGCAGTAATTTTGGTAATTACCGCGGTAAATCGCCAAGCTCTCCGATTGCAACTCCTCATCTCGTGGTCAGCGCCGGGTAACTTTTAAGATACCACGTAACGTCGTGGGGAATCGAATTTCCGATAGTCGAAATAACGGGGGTCCTCGGGGAAGCCCTGCGCGCACACGCGAATTCGTACGCGCGACGGCCGTCCGGAGCTGAAATTGCAAAATGACGTAATTCGACTGAAGCGCGCGCGGCCTGCTTAAATATACGCTCTTTGATACGATACTCGAGATATTGTCTCTTGAGATTAAGAGCGGCAATAAGTTACGTCACAAAGTGAAAAAGCGCTAATTAAGCAGCGGACGACCTCCGTGTGTTTTTCTTTTGTACATTATTCGCGCGTAAGGAGCTAATTTTAGCGGGTAAGTGGCACACGCCGCCGCGGAATTAATTCAGGGAAACGAGATCTTCCGGAGTTATTAACCGCCGCCCCGTATTTTCGCAATCGGCGGAGAAATTCGCTCTAATGATAAAACGACGCCGCTCTCATTTCGGCCTGATAATGAAACGAAAATAGGTGAGAGGAGGAGGGGAGGGACGAGGTTCGCGCGAGCGAGCGTATAAATCCGAAAACATTATCGTCGTCCCCGGGCTTCTCCCGTGATTTAACTCTGCGCCTTTCCGACCCTCCGGTTATGAAATTATTATCGTCGCGTAAACGATAATTGTAACGATACGAACCGATCGACGAACGAAAGTTAAGTGACCGTGAATCGACGGGGATTAAGACTTCCAAGGGAACGACATAATTTTGCACACAACTGCACGGAGAACACAATTTTGTTAGAACAGCGAATTATTTATTAACATAGCGGCAACAAAAGTTTCGTTAAGAGTATTATCTACTTTTCCTGCCTTAAATACGAACAATTTGATGATTTTGCTCAACGTCAACTAAATTTCATTGCTGTCACAACGAATATACAATCGGCAGCAACGGTTTCGCTACGACAAACATTATTTTTCACCGTATATATACGCACGCGCACAAGCACACACAGATATAAACACAAAATGCTAATTTATCGTCCGGCTTTAAAATACGAGCGCCTCTAAGAACGACCGAGTACGAACGCGAGAGCTATAGTTCCCTGCTATACAGAGGATACGCGACCGAAACGATCACTCCGTCTGCTCCAACGGCTCCATTTCGATATTCGAGACACGAAGTTATTTAATGGGCTGCGAGAGCGACGGCTACAGCTGCAGGAGGTATTACGGCAGTTGCAACGGTAACGACAGAAACCATATACCACGGCCATTCGATCCAACTTTACGCTTTGTCGGTTTGGATCACCTTTCATCCCTTTCGAGAGACCCGTGGCAACAATGTTTCACCTCTCCTTCGCTTTCGTTCGGAAAATATAACAGCGACACCGCTCAATGCGGCGCGGCGAGTGTTTCATTAATACGCCCGCGATGGCTCAATGGCATTATCTCTCCGAAAATAATACAAATATTTTTTTGTATTTTGCGATCGCAGAAATGAGCGCGCGTCGATCAAACCGTCATTCGAGCGCGACGCAGTAAGCGGCGTTTTTAACATCGCGGCTGATCGGAACGTCATTGTCGGTGTGACGATCGCTTGACCGAAATGTTAGCCCGGACGTAGCCGAACAGCTGAGCGGGACGCACAGCCGGTGCGTTTGAAACGATTACCGGTCGCAATGCGATAAATGGCACGAATTGTTAGCGGATATTCACGAATTTATGAACCGATCTCTGCCGGCGACGGCTCGTATACGTTGGACAGCTCGTTTGCAAAAGAATGGACGATACGATAGGTGTGCATTATTAAACATTTTAATTAGGATAAGGTTTCGTTTAAAAAGAAAGGCGAAGCCGTTCGTAAACTCGCGATCATAATGAATACAGCGCGAGCGCTCACTGAAAAACGCGTTTGGCCGGATCTACCTGACGATCAACGGCGTTTTGCTTGAACGTGACAGAATTTATAAGAAGCAAATTTGGTTCGTGAGAACTAGGGATTTTCTTTCCTTCGACGAGAACGCGTTTGAAGAAAAGCGTCTCCCGGTTTCCATTTTACACTACGATTGAACGAAATATACGAAAGGTTTTAAGTATTTGTAATTTACAAGTGCACACACATGTGTGCATTATTAAGCACGGAAGAAACAATCAGCTCCCACAGCTAAACGCTATCCGTACGATACAATCCTCCGATTCGCCAACCTCGATCTGCGAGCGGCGAGCCGGCGACGCTAGTTAAAAACCAATTGTCGACGATACTCGCCGGCCTCCGGAAGAAGTATTCAAATTACGACTCTTCGGACTCGGTTGCGGTGTATCTCGGGAGTTAACCAGGTGATATTTTTTACTCCCGACACGTCCCGTTTATCCTCCCGTCGCTCCCTTACTTAAGGGAACGACGGGAAGAGGGATCGTATCCAGCGACTCGCATGAGCGGACTGGCAAAAGGCCGCTCGTGGAAATACCGAAAGTTATGAAAGTTTTATGACAGGCTCTATGAGAGAACGCCGGAAGATGCAGGGGGGAGAGGGCAGAAGAGGAGGGATTTTGCTCGGGGAGGATAACGGCGGCCATCCTATGGACGTTTACGGCGAGCCAATTTTTCCGTTTGATTATTCAACGCGCGCGAATGCAGCCCGGCTCTCACGGCAATTGCCATCTGACGATAGGGAGCTTGCGGTCTGGAATTTTGGAAATGGAAAAAAGCAAACGGGAGAATCCGAAAAGCTGGCCGGCGACCGCAGCTTGAAAAATATACATACGATTTCCGAGTGCAACAAAATTCCACCCGTCGCCAGAGACGCTCGGCGCGAAACGGAGAGCGCGATCGGGTACGGTTTTCCCCGAGACCGCCACAGACACCGTAAACCTTCCGCAATTTGTTATCGCGTTTTGCGAAACAGATCGTCGACGGGCTTGCTATAAGAGCCACAGAGAGAAAGAGAGAGAGAAAGAGAGAGAGAGAGAGAGGACGAGTCGCCCGAGAGTAAGGCGGGCGCGGGCGATAAATCAGGACTCGCACGATAATGAAATTCAATGCTTCGGGCCCGGGTGTGTCAGGCGAGTTTTATCAAAAGCGCCTATTTATCTTTCTTACAAAACAGTTTGAGAACAGTTCGCTCATAAACGGCATCGGACGGAGAGAGATTCTCGAGTCCTCGGGAGTCGGTCGGTTAGCGCCGCCCCCTGCGACGCGAAACTGGGCCACCGAGATTGATGGTTTTTCTTTCATCCTTGAAGTCCTCCAAAAATAGCGTCGACACTCATAAATATCGTAAACATCCTCAGGTAAAGACGTCCCGACGCCGAAGAATTTTGCGGGCTGTAATAAGCCGACATAAACTGTTTTCGATCCTCGGGTCGTCGAAATGCGCGACGCTTAAAAATACGAGGCAGATGACATTAAGACGTCCTAAGACGTCGTAAAGACATTTTGTAGATAATAAAACGTCTAAAGGGTGTCTTTGAGCCGTTCTCAGACATATGTGATGTTGCTGTAATACGGTTGGCCTTGTGTATGCTGTAACATTCCTTAGACGGAGAGTGACACGATTTTCAGTCTTATGTATAACGCAAAAATCGCAGAAGTAATTTTAATTATAACGCGGTATTAGGATTAACTCTAATTATAATAGTTTCAATCTTATATGTACGTATGGAAGACTAAAAAATTCTGTAGTAAAAAGTTTTTAATCTAGGGGAATGGTACAGCATACGTGACATCAACTGTACACGGAGCGAAGTTCATCGTGAAATTTGAGAGTCCGCGGGACATAACATGTGTATGTTTAAGAGAAAAAAATTAATTAATATTTGACATTAATTTTCATACACCGTAATTCTTTTCCGCAGAGCACAATTATAGCGACTGTTTGATGTACGAGAGATATACGAGATTGAGAATTCATGGGCTTGATTCGTTGCACGTACGTGTATAGAAATATGAGGCAAAATATTGCTGTGCTGCAAGGAGAAGTTCACGTGAAACTTGGGCAGCCGAAGAATTAATTTTCAAGAGGGGGGAAAAAATCGTTTAACATTAATTTTTATA